GTATATATATATATATATATATATACAATGCTCAGCGTTAATTGTGTGTACAATGTGTGTGATTTCATCGTTCCCATTAATTTCCCCGTGGCGTGTAAACCGCGGTTCGTCCGCCCCAACCGACCGCTTGCCTCCTCGCAGGCGAGCAGCGACTACATCGTGACGGTGAGCGACGACGAGATGGTCTGGATCCACGAACTCTTCACTCCGATTCTCGGCATCTGCAACAAAAGCTACGAGGACACGGTCGCGTCGCGCAGGATCGACATGTGACCGCGCGGCAAAGAAGCGAGCGTCTCGACGATCGACCTGCGTCGCAGGTCGGGTTGCGTGCGCGGCGCCACCTCATTTGTTCGCGGGGCGCGCATTTTCGTTTCGGCTAGCCGGAGCGTTTGATGGCCTTGCGGGTTTACGGATCGCGATGGTAGACGTCATGAATAGTATCACGCCTGGGTCATGTTCACTGTTCAGTTCATAGACAGTAAAAATACTGACTATACTTATATATTATATTACAGTTCCTCATATAAACACTGCTTATGATGTAAGATAATTATATAAGGTATAGTGAGGATGGTAAGGTCTGCAAATTTACTCCAACAGTTTTATTTTTCTGATTTTTATCAGTAAAGAATACAATTCTCATTCAGTGTATTTCTGTTATCAACGAGCACCTCAGAGCCGATGCATATATGAAGAAAACGAATTCACATTATAAATTTGCCTACAGTGATATATGTTAATATGAAAAAAATATTTTATTCATCTACATTCCACTCAAGCCACGTTATAATTCATATTAATAAAGTGTACAAACAACACTGTTGTGGTGACTAACTCGACCAACAGTGTTTTATGCCACAATTCCATGATATTGGGATTTCTGGTTTTCACAGCACAAACAACAATTATATTCGTTTTTTTAATTTCTCAGTTGTATCATAGATCTAGTAGATCTAGAAATCTGGTAACTATTTAGTTAATTTCTCCAAAGAGAAGCCCAACAATCTTCAGATAAGAGTGATTCCCACGGTACTACAATTCAACTATATACCAAACGTACCCCTATCATCTACTTTCGCTTATTCTGGAACACTTTCTTGTGTCCTTGCCGTGACGACTTTCCAAGCTGCCTTCCTCTGGCCCCTCGCATTCCCCGCTTCTTGCTCTTCCAGTCGCGACCTTCCTCCCACCTGTGTCTGTTCATCTCCCACTTCAACTGCTTTGCATCTGGAATGATTAACAAGGACATGCAAGTGCTTGAGAACATAGATATATATATAATAGCAAGACCTTTCACAAATATCTACACATATTGTTATGAAACTTATATACTAGTTAATGCATAAACAACTAGTAAAATATGAAAGGACAGATAGACACATAGATATAAGCTTGTAATCGTTCTAATAGATCCATAATCAGAGCAGAAATTCTCCAGTGTCAGCTGTCTCTATGTATCAATCATTGTGTTTACCTGCTTTATCTTTGTTAGCAAGAGCTTCAGAACCTGATGTATCGACCTTAGAACCTGCATTGTCATCCATTATACTAGCAAACTGCAAGTAAAATAGATATTAAACTTTAGATGGAGAAATTTGCAATTGGAAAAATCTGTTTCAGTTGGCAAAATGTGAAGAACGGGTATAAAATATATATAACAGATAAAATGTGGTCTTATCTCACCTGCTCAGCTGCAGCAAAAAGATTTTCATCCCTGGAAATAAAAAAAAATCATGTCCGTATGATACACTAATGTAATATAGCAGAATGGTACAGTACACAAAAATACAGACGTGTATACCTATAGAAAGACGTGTGTATGTATAAAATGATGGTAAACTAGCACACATGCACAGCTATAAATTACATAGATCGATATTTAAAAGATTGCAATGCATGCCAGCACACAAACATTCTGATTGTAGGTCAACATGTAAATCCCCTTTAATATTCTTACTTTTTGCGTTTTTTCTTCATGCTGGGCATCGGGTAGCCACCATCAGTCGCATCCCTCTTGCTACTTTTCTTAGGCACAAATAATCCTTCAAAAATAAAAGAGTACAAAGTGTCACGTAAATGAGCACTTGCCAAACAACCGTGACCGTTTAATCTTCACACACTCGTGTGTGTGTATGTGTGTGTGGGAACGTGCGTGAGCGTGTGTATAATGGACTTTTGCTGTGTTTGCATTTAACAACATGTCAGACACTACTGAACGATGAAAAGGTACATTGCTAAAACATAGATCCCTAAGATCCATCCCAATACCAACTACACATACAACTCATCGAATAGTTGCATCCACAGGAAATCGACCTATCAGCCTGAAGTGACCGACTCGTAGCCCTAGCCAATCAGCACATCGACACGAGCGTTCTAAACACGAAGTGCAGCAAAATCGTCAATTTGGTGTGCTCACACAAAAAATATACAAGCTTGTATAGCTTGACCGACCTAGCAACAGTATCCAAGTGGCGTGGTTATCTCGCTCAGATTGATAGGTCAATGAATTGCAGGCAAGCTAGTCCACACTGACTGAATTTTCCACCAACATGAACACAAGCCGTATAAAGCATCGATGCTTCATACCATCATCGTCCGAGAAGGCAACGTCTTCCTCGTTGAATTCCATTTCCGCGCCACCTTTCTGAAGTTCGTCCAGATCAGAATCCTGGAAGTCGTCCATGAAGTCTTCACCAAAGTCAACATCGTCATCATCGTCATCGTCATCGTTGCTCTCTGACAGCTCAGCTTCTGCCTTTTGCTTTTTCAACTGCTTCAACTTTTTACTGTACTCGCTGGAATGAAGAGAAAGGAGAAGACATTCACTTGACATAGCACGAGAGATGAGATATTAGACAGCAAAGCAATTTCACTTTCTTGTTTTCAAATAAATGTATCCGATTTTACGAGCTGAAACTTTGAGTAATTTTATTTTAAGATGAATCCCGTTTCTGATTCCCTTGTCTCTTGGCACCTACTGCCATCTGGTGATGAGCCCAAGAAACTTCAATAGCTCGACAGATCAATCGGTTGTAAAACTCATTAACATGCCAGTACATATGGATTGATCTTAATAATAAAATTACTCTCAAAACCTCACATTAAAAACTTAAATGAAATAAAATTCCCAAGCTACAAATGATAGAAATTGTAATCGTCTGCTGACCTAGCAAAGTCCATATCAAAGTCATCTCTAGCGCGTGAGCCCGGCTCAATCTTATCTGTAACAAATACAACACTGGGATTAATCAAGTTTTCTACATGTATGCTTCCTGCATGTTTCACATAGAATTGTGATCTGGTGCGAATAATAGACAATGTTACAATGGCACATTTATAGAAATTTTATTAATACCGAGTAATTTGTCAAACTCATCATCTGATATGCTTTCTCCTTCGCTGACGTTGTCCAAATCCTTTTTCTGATCTGCTTTCTTGCTAAAATACCTGTAATATACATTATAACAAGATCAAACATGGATTAAAGATCTGTCACACATATGATAAATAACAAACTGCAGCAAAATCTGTGTATTATACTAGTAATTGTGATTATGGTATGACCTTTACAATAGCAAGGCAAGACTGAATTGTCATAGTTCTAATCCAGTGTGCTCATCATAAATATCTAAACACTGTTACAGAAACCCCTTTGGGACACGCTTCATTTCAATTAACCAGATAGAAAATGTTAGTAGAATGTGATAAGTACTCCGTAGTACCTACTAAAATATTACTAATGATTTGGAAGATTATATCATATTATTCCATTAATATGTGCACGTGTATATAACACAGATTTTGTGATATAAGTGCTACCCAACCCGCTGAAATCTCCCTCATACACCACTAGGTGTGAATCCCTGTTGGTATTTCCTAGATTCTGTGCAAACTAGTAAATGTACCTGTACAGGAACTGCTCGTCAACGGGCGTGTTGGCCTCTCCTCTCTTCAGAAACTCGGCCGTGTTGACAGGAACAGCCTTTCCTTCTCCGAGCCCGCGTGTCTGTTTCTTGGCACGCATCACCATGACGTCTGCAGTTTCACCTGTGCAATGATAAGAAAGTATGTTCAGATGTTCGTCAGTATATTTTGGAAATATTTGTGTCATGGATGAATTGTATACTTTCACCTGCACATGAACGTGAACAAGTGCCGCAGAGCGACAGCGCTCACCTGACGGCAGGTGTTCTGATGCTAAACTAGCCATTTTATCACACTGAATAGGTAGATCATGGAACCCTCACTCATAATTAAATAAAAATATTCCTTTTTGCTCGACATGTATTGTCTGCGATAGATGTTTATAATACAAACAACAGCAAGTTTTCTACATATTCTGTGCGTGAGTTTCCTTCGAAAGCTTCATGGTGCCTTAGGACAAAGTGCCTGGCCTTTTTCTTCAGCAACTCAGAAACAAGAAGCAGAATCCACAGAATGAAGTTGGCGCTTGGTATGCAGAAATCTGCGCCCAACGCTTTGAGGAATTGCTTTGTAGACGTAGAGAATGTTATTAAACAACGAATCGATCATTGCTCGCCAGACATTGAATCTTTCTGTAATGACGGTATTATTTCCACCTTCATTAACACAGTTAGACTCACATAAAAAAGAGTCCAGTGAGAGTACTAGGAGTGAATACTCGTTTAGCAATTCATCGCCCACAACCCACAAGAAGTCTAACTGCACTTGTGCTTTCTTTCAGTTGTTATACCAGCGTCTATCGACGGGACATTGTAGGTTGAATATAGCCCAGTCACACAAATTGCATGCACACATGCGTCATTCCGCATGCACGCACGCATGCACAACACACCACAAGCACACACAGACAGTACCTGCAACCGCTTTCACCACCACATCTTTTTCAGCATGCTTTTGAAACCAGGTTGAGGACACGATGATCTGTTTTGGAGGAAGTCGTTCAGGGGGCCAGGGTTCGGAAAGCTTCTTATACAGACGTGTAGAAGCGATCGAGATGGTTGCTCACTAGCGAAAACAAAACACCAAGATCAAGATATGCTCAAGTAGAACAGCACACTCACGAGCAATCACGTGCTTGTTAGTGTAGCTTCGAAGAGCCAAGAAATATAATCGAAACATTAACTTCAGGAAAGTCTGAAATAACACCAGGTTGGCGAATGTTTGCTATGCAGTCTCCATTTCTGATAGGAGTTACTAGTACCCTCACAGGCATACATTAAAAGTCAAACCTGCTATTGTTTCTCGCTGTCACAGAATAGACTAGGCGGTCACATAATGCTAGTTTCTGCTAGGTGTGAATCAACAGAAAGACTAAAGCAACTTACTTGGCGTCTACGAAGCTGGCTGGCAGACAGATCAATGCCTGAATGCTGATGTTAAGTTCGAACGTGAACGATTTTGTAGAGCATGTTCACTTGCTCAAACAACCTTTCTCACTTGTTCTCTGTAAATGAGATGGCATTATGTGACTTCAATACTAGCTTACAAGTACCTGAAATCTGTAGCATCAATAGTCAGTCTAATGATAAATGTTGATGATGATGATTGACGGACGATGACGATGATGATAATATACACACAGTGATGGCTTTTCCTACCATGATGCTATACACCGACTATCACGAGCCTAGGTCGAGCCGTTTAGATTTGTGCAGCAATTCTGCATTTCCTCCCTATACCTTAAGTTAAGGAGGGAATGTTCCCCCTTCTTTTACACCTCTTGACCTTTGACTCGCACGGACGGACGGACGCACGGACGATCATGCGATTCTACAAGCTGCATCTGACTATGTCATGACTATGACTATGAGCTAAAAACTAGTATGGTAATACCTAGGGGTGAGTATTGCGACCAAAAACCGTATTGCAATATATTGCAATACGACAAAACCGTATTGCAATATTTTCCAATACGTATTGGGAAGTGTATACCATGCATGATATAGTAACAATTTGATGGTTTTAATATCATCATATATTGTATTATATGACATGATTTAATTTATCATGTTTTTCTTGAGAAACAGAAGCACGGCAATGTTTTCTGCTGACAGTGCAGTCCGCTGTACTGAATACCCTCTCGGAAGGCACTGACATAGCTGGAATACACAATATCCCTGCTGCATAATTGACTAATACTGGATACTGAAACTGAAACTGAAACTGAAACAGTGGGTGCTTGCTTCAGCTTGTATCGCACGCGCGCGGGCACTCAGGTGAGCATAGGCTATATATAGACTCCCTAGTTGCCGTGCTCTCTGCCTCGCGCACACGTCTGCCCCACTCTGCCCGCGCAGTAGTACCACGCAGTGCTCCATGCAGTAAGTAATACTGTGCGTCGTGCAGGCATTGTGCTTTCGTAATATATACACCGCCAGTGCATAATCTTCGAGCCCATGAACAATATAGCCATAAAGGCAAGTGTCAAGTAATTTATTTCTTGTTATACCACCGTATCGTAAAATATCGATATCCGGAAGTTGTATCGCGATATATCGAGTTTTCAAAATATATTGCAATATACCGATATACGGGTATATCGTTACACCCCTAGTAATACTGTACGATTATGTGTCTGAACACCAAGTATGCCTACGTTTTCAGTCTTACAAACCTTTAACTACATGACATTTAGCTTCAGGATATATATTTAGTTATATGCATTCACCATGAAACGGGGAACATAAATTACACAAGAATTTTTCTGTATTATGTATAATTGTTTTTAGTCGACCCCAGAAATGATCACTGAGAAAGTGAGTTCGTTAGATACCACTTTATAGTAAAAACACATTCTACATAAATAAAGCTAAAGGGCCAACTTAAAGACATTTGCTATACTTCCCCGATCACTCGGAAAACAATCATAATGATAAATAATATTAAACTCATTTTGACCTTTATTCGTTTTCTTTGGATTCCTGTAGACAAATCGGTCGAGGAAGCGTATAAGTGTGAAGTCCTGCAGTGGGTCTCCAGAGTAGCTTACACCTTTACCGCTGATCACGTCACGCGCGAACAGACCGACCGATGGATGGAAGTGATGCGCCATCTATACACACCGTAAATGTACATGTAAACTTGTATTATAAGAAAGTGTTTGTGTATCACAGAGTTGCCACTGAAGGCCATGAAATTATTACTCTCAAATAGAGGGTACCAGGGTTTGGCCCAGTAAAAATAATTGTTATATCACAATAAAATGAAGAAAAAAAGTGTTTAACATGTAGTAATGCATAAAGGTGAATAAAAAGTATGTAATGGCTGCAACAAACCCCCATTAAATATATTTAGAATAACATTACATATCATTTCTTACCAACTGCAACAGTGTTTACTTTATATTAAAATGTAAATCATAGAATTTCTGTTTGGAACAGAGTGGTTTAAACACATATACTAGGAAAAACATTCCTAAAACATTTCCAGCACTGATCTACAGCACATTACATTAGTCTTTACTATGACGTATGTACGCACCTTCACTAACTCCCACATACATGTGTACTCAGCTCCCGCATACTGTGGATTTCTCTGGTATGCATCATAATCCTGCAATTGCAAGACTCTCCCTGCAAGACACAAAAATAAGAACATTGAGCTTTTAAAATATTCGTGATTTTCATTTAACCATGAGTAGGATATAGAATCAGATTCACATCACATGAAATCAGGCTAGTGTATAATGTAATACGTACAGGGTATAATCAATGGAACCAAGAAGCATAATTCAGGGATCCGTCAGGCCGTGAATCAGGATGTGGGTTCAAGTATAGTAGCTAGCATGTGAGTAGTGACAGCTTACCTTGGATGTTCCGCTTGTGTACCCACGAGGCATTGGGCTTTTGAGCAACCTTCTCAGAAGCTTCCTGTTGTTCTATCGCGGGCAAAACAGGAGATTTGTCGTCAACGTCACTACCAGGTTGACTAATCGCTGCGACTTTGACATCTGCCGGATTGTCTTCGTTTTCAGCTATATCGACATCTATGAACTTTTCCTCCTCATCGTCATCCTATTTGAGAAGTGGGTGGGATACCAGTTAGAACGGACCCAGACAACAACAAAAATTTATTTTAGCCATTTTATCACACTGAATAGTAGATCATGGAACCCATCACTTCATAAATAAATAAAAATTCCCATTTGCTCGCATGTATTCTCTGGATAGATGTTTATAATACAAACAACAGCAAGTTTTTCTACATATTCTGTGCGTGAGTTTACCTCAAAGCTGCATGGTGCCTTTAGGGACAAAGTGCCTGGCCTTTTCTTCAGCAACTCAGAAACAAGAAGCAGAACTCCACAGATGAAGTTTGGCGCTTGGTATGCAGAAATCTGCAGCAGACGCTTTAGGAATGCCTGTAGACGTAGAGAATGTTATTAACAACGAATCGATCATTGCATCGCAGACATTGAAATCTTTCTGTAATGAGGTATTATTCCACCCTTCTTAACACAGTTAGAATCACATTAAAAAGAGTCCAGTGGAGCTACTAGGAGTGAATACTCGTTAGCAATTCATCGCCACAACCACAAGAAAGTTAACTGCACTTGTGCTTCTTTCAGTTGCTTATACCAGCGTCTATCAACGGGACATCTGTAGGTTTGATAGCCCAGTCACACAAATGCATGCACACATGCGTCCATCCGCATGCACGCACGCATGCACACACACACAGACACACAGACACGTACCTGCAACCGCTTCACCACCACATCTTTCAGCATGCTTTTGAACACCAGGTTGAGGAACATCATCTGTTTGGAGGAAGTCTTCAGGCCAGGTTCGGAAAGCTTCTTATACAGAACCGTGTAGAAGCGATCAGAGAGGTTCTCACTAAGCGAAAACAAAGACACCAGATCAGAGAATCATGCGTCAGTAGACAGCACACTCACGAGACAATCACGTGCTTGTAGTGTAGCTTCGAAGAGCCAAGAAAATATAATCGAAACATAACTTCAGGAAAGTCTGAACATAACCACCAGGTGGCAATGTTTGCTATGCAGTCTCCATCTGATAGGAGTTACTAGTACCCTCACACATACATTAAAAGTCAACCTGCCTATGTTTCTCGCTGTCACAGAATAACTAGGGGTCACATAATGCTAGTTTCCTGCTAGGTGTGAATCCACAGAAAGACTAAACAACTTACTTGGCGTCTAGAAGCTGGTGGAGAAGCATCAATGCCTGAATGCTGATGTTAAAGTTCGACACGTGAACGATTTTGTAGAGCATGTTCACTTGCTCAACAACCTTCTCACTGTTCTCTGTAAATGAGATGGCCATTTTGTGACTTCAATACTAGTACAATTACCTGAATCTGTAGCATCAATAGTCAGTTAATGATAATGATGATGATGATGATGACGACGATGACGATGATGATAATAGTAACAAGTGCCGCAGAGCGACAGCGCTCACCTGACGGCAGGTGTTCTGATGCTAAACTAGGCTGTACAACTGATTGTCTATACAGATGTCTGATTGTCTATCAGACTGATTGTCTATCAGACTGATTGTCTGATGGTCTTCTAACCCTAGCAAGACCGTTTCGTGGAGCTAGCAAGGCTGTAACGTTTTTATATAACTTCACATAAATGTTTATACTATATGTTAATTAGGGTGGCACTCCGGCAGCCCATGTTTATACTATGTTAACTCAGGTTTCCCAGCAGCGGCGAGCGATGGTAGAAAATTATGAAAAATTGCTCTAAAAAGCTGCTTGTCTGGCGGACAAGCTACCTGACAGATCTACTTGTCCTCCGTGGAAATGGACAAGTACGGACAAACGGATAGCCCTTATTTCGAACACTGGGATGGTATCAGGAAGCTTCTCGAAGAAATGTTCGTTGGGATCGTTATGAAAGTTGCCACGAGATGGCGCGTACGTTTGAATGTCTTAAAATTAAAGATGGAAGCTGGAAGCTTCCATCGTACGTAGTATAGCAACAACTATTTCTATTTGCAAGACAGAATAGGTAAGCACTCATCCATTTACCTATGCAAGCCTACAGGCTGAAATAGAGAGCTGCCACCTGTAACTAATTAACGCAGGCAAAAACTACACCATACTATCACCACTACATGCACTGGCAGTGGCCACTGGCAGTGGCATAATTGTATCCCGCGAACGAAGTTCGTGGATACTATGGTTTGGCATGTTGCGCCGCGCTCGCCGTAGAGATTTCCTTGTGAACGCTCTAGCGGGCTGCAGTTTCTTCTCGATCATCTTCAAATTTCGAATGGAAGGTGCGTTACGTAAAGCGAAAGACACCTATTCGTTTTGGTGTGGGCGGAGTCATCGTTTGCCATGGTAACAACATTTTTTTGTCGAAATATCTTAGAACCTGTAACTTGCTGCAACTTTTTAGCCCGATGTCATGAAATTTATATTTGTATTCAAAATTTATATTTAAATTATATAAAAATTTAAATTTAAAAATTTTAAAAATAAAATTTAAATTTAAAAAATATAAATTTTAAATTAAAAATATAAAAATAAAATTTAATATTTGTATTAAAATTTGTATTAAATTTTATGTTGTCATCAATATAGTATAATGTATAGTACATATATATATTATATATAGGAATGTTAATATCGGCCTTTTGTGCCAAATTCGTCATGCAATCGGGTAAAAACAGCACAAGTTAGCAGGTTCTTACAATTTTCCACAAAATGTTGTTACGCATGGCAACGAAGACTCCGCCCACACCAAAACTAAGATTGGCGTCTTCGGCTTTAGCATAACGCACCTCATAGCAAATTTGAAGAAATCCGAGATCGGTAAAACTGCCCACCCAGGTCTCTTTCGAGCCTTTATTCACGCTTACGCTGACATATTTCTCTCTGCTCTCTAACTCAGCCCTAATTGACCTCGCACGACGAAACTTGGTATGGCTTACACATTGGAGAAGGTCTGTCGCATACGCCAAACCACCACTGGCCGCTTGACGCTTAGTTGACGCTTCACCGTCGACTCTCTCGGCTGCCAGGGTAACCAGATTCCATAGTACTTGGCATCTGAGGCGCACCAGTGTATAAAGCAAACCTTTGTCTTTGTGACTTATTTAACTTTACCTGCCTTCTACGCCTTACAGAGATATTTCTATTCATGACTAGATCACGGGGGATACATGTAGGTTGGCGGACAACCTGCTGCGTTTCTAAGTTAAGTTACATGTAACAGCCATGACAGTAAGCAGAATGCATAGAAAATTATAGCGATTTAAGGAGCAAATAACCTCTTCAAGGCAAATTTAGCTTTGAAATTTCACTGTGACATTGGTAGCCGGCATACGATCCAGGCATGTTAGATCTACTAGGCAAACGCCGGCAGTCCCCAACTTCTTTCTAACAGTACAGCAAATTCATGTTTAACCCTCGCTCTTGAGGGTCAAAAGGTTATCAGCACTTACTCTTCGCACGACAGTGGAAAGCACATTTCATGGTCCTTCAATAAAAAGCCATAAAAAAAGGGGTAGGTACCGGCTGGAAACAAAAAAGTTTTCATCGCTCGCGCACGCCATGTTCTCAGAATAATGTCTAAAATGCTGCCCTGTGCCCCATTGACCTTTGACGCTGTGACTCTCCAAATTTCGGCAGCAGTGATGGCTTTTCTACCATGATGCTAATACACCGACTATCAGGAGCCGTTTAGATTTTGGTGCGCAATTCTGGCAATTTCTCCCTAATATCTAAGTTAAGGAGGGAATGTCCCTCCTTCTTTTACACCTTCTTGACCTTTGACCGCTTTGACCCCAAATTGATGCCCCATCCGATCCTTTTCAACGAGATGATATGAAACGGGACCCCGCGCCCCCCCACAACATCACACACACAACACACAACACGCACACACACACACAGTACGCGCGCGCACTCGCACGGCAGACGCACGCAACGCACGCACGGCACGCACGCACGCACGCACAGCACGGCACGCACGCACGCACACACGACACACATCCCGAATATCTGTGACGCGTACGTCGAGCGTTAAGATTTGTGCCCAACTGTTGACGCACGCACACACGCACGCACGAACGGACGGACGATCATGCGATTCTACAAGCTGCATCCGACTATGTCAGATGAGCTAATAATAATAATAATAATAATAATTTATATTGTCAATGTTGACTATAAGATACGTACTGTAAAAATTGGAACACATTAAATGCACTATGTGCACGCAGTATTTCATTACAATCGCCTTTGTTATATCAGGAGCTTATCATAACGCATCAACCGATAAAAAATACTTTAACAATGAATTAATAATGTGCTACAAACCACCAAGATATAGTCCACAAGCTTTTGTATTGCCTGTGGGTGTTTTATTAGTGAGTGATCTTACCAATGGTCAATTTTATAAGAGAACTTACTCTTTGTGTAAGGAAAGGCCCTGTTCACTCCAGTAAGCAGTGCACTAAGCATCTTGCTATCAACTTCGCCTTTCTTTACGATAGACTAGAATATAAATAGAAGAGTTCCTGTTGTAACTATGCAGCACCTAATAGAACCTTTTTTTTAATTGTGTAACAGCGCGTATGCATGATATATAACTAAATTACAACATACGAACACTTATGTGCAAATAACTATAACAAGCACCAACTGAGTATTATTGCTTCAATTGAAGCCTTTTAGATGAAAGTCGAATTGGACTTAATTACACAAAAAGCAGGTCTAACTTGAGATAAATTTAACTTTAACCTTCTTTTTATATCTACGACTATTAATATATATTAACTACAATGCTGAAAACACATTAAAATTTGTTCATTTTCGAGAAATCACAGCAATTTTAGATAAGCCAATTTTGGATAATATTGGGGATATGAAAATGGAAACGAGTTCCAATTTGCACTCATGGCATAAAAAGCGACATCTAAACAGTGCTAGTGTTGCAATTACACAGGCCGGCATATCACTCTATACCTGGAAGAAGGAGAAGTACAGAGAGATGAGCCTTGAAGCTAGGTCTCCCTCCTGCCGATCCAGTACAAGCTGGTTCAGGAAACACATGCCATAGTACCTGCAGAACAATAGAAGAAGACATCATCACAGACAGTCTTTTACCATTATAGAATAGTAAAACTGCAAAATCTTTAAGGAAATGTGAATAATAACAATAATAATAAATATAGGAGGTTAGCAAAACAGTCAGTTGGGTTCGTCGGAATAATAAATCCATGCAGGACTGATTTCTTTTTTGCTATCACCTTGATCAGCCAGTCAAATTTATGCCTGACTGCGGCATAAATGAATTTTTATTTGCTTTTCAGAGGTTCACAGGATAATTGAACATGTGTGGCTACATTATCATTATCATGTGTGCAATACCCATAAAATATTTTGCAATTTTCACAATCCACTTTGTAATATTCGGTCATATTACTGCAAACAAGAAATAATTACAGAGTTGTCTGGTCACAGCGAGTGCTAATAACATGTGAACTATATTCCATTCCATACCACATAGTTAGCCTATGCAATAAGACACATCTATACAAACTGCAGCCACCTATGATTAACTGCATGGTAGCAACCCAAAATTGTTACAGCAGCACCTCACAGATATATGATCAACTGATAGTAACCTTTAACGTTAGAGTACTGCCTCACAGATCACGTTATCATATAATATGACTACTAGTGCTACATTTTAGCAAACATTACGTACTGTGCTTTGGAAGATATATTTTGTCTATAGAGTACTCGCTCCACTTCCAGTACGACCACAGACTTCATGTTCGGATGATGATCGACTGGAACAAATAATGAAAATTATTACAGATGCAAATAATCAATGCCAATATAAGATGGCTCAATTTGCTCCTATGAGTAAGGATAACACTTTCCCTTGAACTTTTCCAATTTAAAACATTTTAAATGAAAGTTTAATAGTTTAAGATTTCAAAAAATTTCAAATCTTCCTACTATTCACAATAAATGCAGATTCACCACAAATATGTCTATAAAATAATGCATCTCTAATGGTTATAAGGCATAAGCCATTGGCAACAAATTGCAGTCCTGCGGTACAGACCACTACTAACAATACTACAACCACACACGTGCACGTCTGTCTCTTCATTCACTTTCCTATATACCACCTACCTAGCTGTCCTAGAAGATGACAACAGTTGGCTGCTACTTTACGGTCTGGATCTCCAAGTTTATTCACCAGTATGGATAATAATTCCTTACGAACCAGATATTTATACTTATTAGACTGCATCCTGATGGTCATTGAAGTTGAATTGAATTATTGCTTATAACTGTACATCATTAGTGAAGTGTCACTTGGTTTCAGTGAACTCTATGAACGTATAGTATTAAAAGTTATTGCTTAAAAGGTTATCTAAATAATTACTTTGATATTTAAATACACATAATTTAATGTTCAACTGATAGTAAATTTGCAGGCACATTTCCTTTCCCAAGTGAAAACAATTGTGTTAATTGATACTTTAATATTTTCATGCTAATATTGTTCATCTGATATAGTGTTTAACCTTATTGTCACTATGTTATGGCTTCTTACCTTTTCTTGTTCTGGTTTGTTTATTAAAAGATCATAGGCTGTCCCTGAAATAACACAGCGACTTTAAAGACGCTAAAACATTACGTATTTCAATTATATCATGTATGACACAATTTGATTATGAGATTTATGATCCAATTTTAGCATATTCTCATAATGCCTCTTACTGGAGTAACCCTAACACTATAATTTATTCATATATCATTGATATTACAATCCAATATTATAAGTCTAAATAACATTAAACATTAAATTAACAAGTGCCGCATAGCGACAGGGCTCATCTGGTGTCTGGTGTTCTGCTGCTAAATTCATTTGTGCATAGCAAGACGTCCTATACATACGTTCATTTCTAACCCAAAAAAACAACACTTCAAACTAGTGTAATAAAATTCCGATAGATGGCGTGCCGCTATCAAAGGCATCGTTGCATCGGTCAGCAAAAGCATTGTAGCAATGGCAGCTGTCAGTGTGACGACGAATTGCAAAAAGCAGGAGCGAATAATTACCATATTATTACTATACATAACGTGCGTTCTATGGTGTCAGGTAATAAGGTACATTAAACCCCTTGCGAGGCACATCTGGCTCGTTAAAAATAGCTCAATGGTTGATACAACCAGAGGCAGAGCAGCTCGTGCAAGATTACAATTTAGAGCAATACGATAGCAAATATCTCTAAACTAATTTCAGTACAAGGTAGGCCAGTGATTAGTGGACCGAATAAGCTCAAGAACGTACACACTTGCGTCTATATTGGTGCCAAAATTTGATGAGAAAATTAAGTCTGGGAAATCCGCAGCCTCATTCCTGGGTAATTATTTGAGTGCTAGTGACTGTATTCCAACTATTCATAATGTACCCTACAGAATCTTATATATAAGTCATGTCATTATCTCCTAAGTAAGCGTTGTTCAAGAAAGAGTTATGTGTGGAATTTCACTGTAAAATGGGAGCTTCCCACACCCACAAGTACTCGCCAATGCAGTTGCGAGAAACAAATCCATGTTTAACCCTCCTCTTGAGGGTCAAAAGGTTATCCGACACTTACTCTTCGCATGTCAGCGGAAAGTACATTTCATGGTCCTTTCAACAAAGTCATAAAAATGCTAGGTCACCGCTGAAACAAAAAAGTTTTTCAATCGCTCCGTCAGACCATGTCCTCAGAAAATGTCTAAAATCTGCCCTGTGCCCCATTGACCTTTTGACCCTGTGACCTCCAATTTCGGCACACATGATGGCTTTTCCTACCATGATGCTATACACGACTATCACGAGCCTAGGTCGAGGCCGTTTAGATTTGTGCCGGCAATTCTGCATTTCCTCTCCTATACCTTTAAGTGTAAGGAGTGAATGTTCCTTCTTTTACACCTCTTGGGACCTTTGACCTTTGACCCCCAGCTTCGACATCCCAACTCGGTTTTGACGATCCCCCCCGACATCCCCATATCGTGACCGTACATCAAGCGGTTAAGATTTTTGCCCCACTGTTGACGCACGCACGGACGCACGCGAGCACGAACGACGCCGCTCATGCGATTCTACAAGCTGCATCTGACTATGTCAGCTGAGCTAATAATTAACAAAGTTTAATAATGAGCAATAAACTTACTCAATGCTTTTGTTTTCACTGCCTTAGATTATCAAATGATAGTTTCTGAAATACAAAAACAGGTCATAAGATCACCAGGTCAATACGATGTGTCTATATTAAACTAATATCTCAAACAAAACTTGTTGTGTGACGTAAAACCCCGCAGTACAGACTTAATCAAATCAGTGTAACGCGACCAAGCATAAAATTACGCAGCGTTTCTCCATAACGCTAAATACTCTTTACGCGGCTTATGATTACAACAGATCAACGCGGGTTGATTTGCAACAAACATAAACAATTGATTGCAACAAGCATATATAACATTGCAAAAACACGAAAAACTCATTGCAACAAACAGATATATATCGTAACAAACACGAAACAACTCATTGCAACAAACAGATTATGATTGCCAACAAAACACAAAACATAGATTGCAACAAACACCGCATGTTCTGGGACTTTCGTCTGACCTTTGAGGGTTTCGACAAGGGTTGGCGTACTGCTGCTTCAGCTGAGCTTTCGAAAACTGTAGAATGATGAGCGCGTCTGTCAGCGGACGTCTCTGTTCCGTCGACAACTCGGTCCGAGAACAGCAGCGGATGCTGGATCCTAAAGCACTTCAGCTTGCAACCGTCCGGCAGCGCTCCGAGGAGCACTAGGTCCCTTATCCGTGTTCGTAGAACATGGAGAGTATGACGAGGTCGTATGTTAGCCTAACGCAGTATAGAGCATTTTAGCCTATATGGAGCTTCCATATCTCTTAGCTTACGTTATGTACTGCTAGATGGAGCACCTTGAATGGACATACATTTCTAGAGTTGCATTTAGTCTCCCACAAGTGTCCGATGGAAGGCTCCATATTAGGGCTAAATGCACGCTACTCTGGCGGATACGGTTTATGACCTTTATAATACCCTATCATAGATACTGTCGTTAGGTGTTTATATGTTTTTTTTTTTCTATTATATACATACAGGGGTCGCGACGCCCCTATTCATTTTTGCAATGAAAAGGCGAAGAAGAAGTAAGAAAATAGAGAAAGAAGGAAAAGGAAAGGAAAAGAAGAAAAAGAGAAGAAAAGAAGAGAAAAAAAGAGAAAGAAACATCTTGCAAATGATAGGGGAGGTCATAGGGGTCGCCCCTATCTTTTCTCTTGCAAATGAGGGGGGGGGGGTTAATATGGTATCCAAGCTGCTGATCTGATTATATTTTATGAATGATTAATGAACGCGCTCGAAAACGTGTTAAGTCGGCGGATATTTTGGACCAATCAGAGACGTCTAGTCTGACGTGTCCACAGACTGGAAATACCGCGCGCATGTTCTGCTTTATCACAGTAGCCTATAAATACGCCTCCAGCCCACTGACGCCAACTTGCAGGTTCATGTTATTCTTCCGTTATAATGTCACCACAAAAAATGAGGGAAGTAGCCCTACAGTGCGACACTTTCATCAAAAAGTCGCAAATAGAGTGTCAAAATTCAATCCATATTAAAACCTGTTCTTAAGTCGATGAATACATTCGGTCAATGTGTTATTTCCTGGCGAAGTCCCGAGTTGGGGACCATCATTTGTCGCGATGATGCTGTTTTCCCGGCGGAAAGGTTTTTCAAGGCACTTGAAGGTGTTAAATCAACTTATTCAGGCATCAGACATTTTCGCCGTTCGGCGATTTCAGGTGCCATTCTGAGACAGTTTTTTTTGGGGGCGGCGGAAAGATACACTCCTGTGTGCATCTGATGATCCCGTACATGTGAACACACTGTGACTCGGCTAACTATCCGGGAGCGCTTCTATCTCGTATCATTGTTCCTTAATGTATTGCCTTAACTACAGGCTTTTCATTTCTTAAGGGCGTGATCGGCCGCTCCGCGCTTCCACCGCGCACCCAAAATTGGTGCCATTTGGTGCAGGTCTATATCGTGGCCTATAAAAGTGACGGTTGAAATCACCACCAAAAGCCTGCTATTATGTTGAAGTACTGCGCCCATAAAGTTTCGTCAATGTAGGGGTGCTACAAACGGTCAAGGCAGAACACACAAACAATTTGTGGTGTTTACAGTAACTGAACAGTATGGCAAGAGGTACCAGCGTTACTACCCTCTTGGATTTTATACAACTTAGACAACAGCATTCAAATACAGGTACCTACACGGTAGCACAAGACCTGCTTCGTTTCCACTTATAACTGGCGAGAGTTGGTTTTTCTGCGACGTTGAAACAGTCGTTATGGGCTGGAGCGCCGGCTACGATACGTGGCGATTACGTACAAGTAATTTGGCCTAGTTTGTTGATGGAGTTTGTGTATGCGTATATTTTCTTGCTGAAATTATGCAAGGTACACTGGAATTTAGAGTCCTAAGGAATGAAGATCAGAATAAATAACAAGTTTAATTTTACAATCGATCAACTCTTTATTAATCTGTGGTTGTAGTGTTGCGGTTGTTGGTTCGAAAGAATGTAATCATTGACAAAGCCATGAATGAATTGAAGGTGAGCATATGAATGATATCAGTGGATTTGACATTGACAATTCCCAATTTTCGTTTTGGATTTCACTCTAGACTGAGTATTGTGGCTGGATTCCATCATCCACCCAAGAGCATATGAGAGCCCTCAAGGAGACTCTCCATCATCCATTTTAAGGGTGTAGATTTTAGTGGCCAGCTCTCCATACATGCCTCTTAAGGCTGTGATTTTTTTAGTGGAGCTCTCCATCATGCTCTTAAGGGCTGTGATTATGGGAGCGTGAAAAGTACCCCCCTATGTTGTCCTATGAGAGTCATTAGTTAGTCCTCCTGTTACTTTTCAAAGTCTGAAAATGGCCTGCGTTATAACATATCGATTAAAGCAGAGTACGGGCGACGAACGGCCAAACTTTTATGTTGGCATTTAAAGAACGTTCCGTGTGGGACTGTCCGGCGCAAGGTTGCCACATCGTTCTGAATCAGTAGCAGGTGGCATACCAAAAATGCGATAAGAAGTGGGGTAGCTTACTTTTGGCCAGTTGGTAGTGAACCTTACATTGTGGTTGGGCGGGATTTATTTACGTGCACGGGTCGTTGCGCACGCTCACGTGTTCACCGTGCCGTAGGTTGTGTAAGGTAATTCGCACACCCGCGCGCATTTCACGATTCTGATGTAAACAATAAGAGTATCATGGTTTGTTAACAAACGATTCAGTATGTACTGTTTTCAGAAGTAATATTAAAAGATTTATCGTAATATTAGCCTGTTGAATGTATACAGTAAACTGAATAATTGTTCTCAAGATTGTTAACACACATAAGTGCACGTGGTAGCTTGCAAATGCGTCCTATTACTTACTAGTCATGCCAAGCAGCAGCACAGCCTCCCGTCGCACACGCCGAGTTTTTAACCGATTTCATATTGTTCTTTAAGCTTCTTCGCGAACTCATATACAGTTTTATCAACAGGGTGTAG